AATCTAAGCACACTTTTTCATCGCGTCGTGGTAAAAATCTCGTAGCACCGCCCTGATGAATCGGACGGAAATTCCAAATTGTGCTCTGTGAAGCTGAGATAGCGTGCTATCAGATTCCGTCTAATCTATCGAGTTTCATTTGCTTTTGGCATCGTTAAATCCGATTTTCTAAGCAGATTCACTGATATTGAGAGGTCCAATTGAAGGTGCATTTTTGTATCTTGAACAAATTATAGAAAAATGCATATTTTTTGCAGGGATAGGGTATTCAATGTTGGAAGGAAAATATTATAACGAGACAGGATATACAATTATACGGTCGATGCCTCTCGGGTGACATTTCCGATTTTCCAGCAAACATGACATGCAACCAAATGAACTGGACAGCCAAACTTGTTTCGGTATTATACTACTATCTCCTCGGAAGTAGACCTAATCTGTCCATCAGGCAATGGCATCAAGCCCTGCGTCGCTGCAAAGCTGGCCCACTACAAGGCAGTGTCTTGAGCGACGACGTTTCCCTTCGTACGATCCAGCACTCGCTGTATGGTAGCGTCCAGCTCCTTGGGCTTGTACCGACCACGTGGTCGGCCCATGTCGGCGCCAATCAACACTGACATGGTCAGGACATCATATTATGCAAGGTTTTGCCGCCAAATTTTTCAGGCCAGTGATTGGCTGTTTGATATACACCTTCAATTGGTCCGTGCACCTTAGATTGGTCCCTTACGTTATTGTTTCATCACTGGGATACTGGATGACTGCACGGACGCCTCGCACCTGTTGGGCCTCCACATTTTTGTTGGCGGGAAAAAGAACGGAAGAACCGTGAAAAACTACCATTCTATGTTCAATCACGAGTATTTCGTCAACTGGTTTGGCAAACTACTGGACGAGGTCGAGGAGCTTAGGTAGTCCTCTGCTGTCTTTGTCATGGACAACGCGAAGTACCACAAGGGGAAGCCCTCAACGACACCCAAAGGAAGCTGGATGACATAAGAGATGTCTCACCAGCCGACCTAAAGGCAGCGATGTGGGCACGACTAAAGAAGTACATTGACGAGCATATCTACCCGGTCATGGTGCAGATGGCCCAAGCGCGTGGTCATCATATCGTGCATGTCGCGCCAGAATTCTCCGAGCTGCAGCCCATCGAGCTGATCTGGGCGAACGTCAAGGGCACCGTTGGCCGAGCCTATACGTCAGACACAACGTTTCAAGATGTCTACAAGCGCCTCGACAATGAATTCTATCACCTGGACTCCGAGACCATCAAGTCCACGATCGACAACTCGACAGCCAAGCTCATTGCGCTTGAAAAAGCACTCTGCCAGGCGGAAGAGGCGGCTGCCATGGTCTCTATTGTATCAGGTCATAGCGATGGGGATAGTGATACGTCTTCATCATGTGATGAAAGTTCCGTTGGGTCAAGCGATGGCGGCGACTCTATCGCGAGCGACGTTGATGATCACCCATATTAGCCTGCCATGATTAATTCCTTGTAAAACATAATTTATTTGATGTATTTGTTGTCCCAAGTTCTGCAAATTTAGAAATTTCAGTCCCCATAAAGTAATTATCAATTGTGGAAGCTTAAGCTGGTGCCCTCGATGGTCTCGAGGACTGTCAGTACCGTCTAACAATGGTCAAACGCATCGACCGACCATTTTTGCAGCCTGAGCGTTTGTGGATGAAATTTCCTAAAAAAAATTGTTCTCCTTCGTTGCTTTTCTGTGCGAATTTTTTGGTAATGCCTTTGTCCCTTGAAACAGAATATTCTTCATGAAATGATGGTTGAAAGACCAGAATGATAGTCATTTTTCCTCTTGAATATCGATAGTCTTCAAGATTCAATAATTTCCTCTCTAGAATCTATTTGTGCCATTAAACACCAGAAACCTGGATGTGGTTTATACGTGCCATCTGATAATGTAGCCTTCAATTCTATTGGTCGATTTTTGAATGATGGCTGAATGACTTGCACATCCAGTCATCAGCATGATCATTGTTCTACACACCAATGCCTGACATCACCACTCAGCTGTACGATGAGATCACAAGTTTCGTCGATACTGAGCGAACGAGGAGTTTGTCACGAGACGAACGTCTATTGATTCTTCGCATGCATGTACAACTTCGACGTCGTAACGCCGTAGGTGTTTCAGAGCAGATTACACAACTGGTAGGTCAAAGCCTCCATGCTGTAAAGGAAGTCTGGTCGGAATATCTACGAGATAAGACTGTAACTACTGCTCGAGTTGCTGCGAATAGATCTAGCCGCAATACACGCATTCCAGACATCAAAGAGGTCTTGTCCATCATTCAGTCATTTGTTCGTGAGCGTAGGTCAACTCTCACACGTGTAGTGGCAAAAAGATGTTATTGTACGAACATGGTATTGTGAAGTATGATCCTCAAAACAAGAAAGCTGTGAATGCATGGTTGCGACTAGTACAGAAATACCTTGTAAAAAAGGGATTTCGACGTGGCCAACGAAAGGGTAACCATTCTGTTAAACTTTCTGACGCTGTGGCTAGTGCTAGGGATAAATATGTTCAATATATGACGACGGCTATTGAGTCTTCACTGCCTCGGCCGGTAATATACTTAGATGAATCCCATAATTCCTCATCATTATGCTCGTCATAACGACAGTATATATCACCCTTGACGACGCCACCGACGCCAAACCCAAGCACAAAGGACGGCGGTTGTGCTTCATTGCTGCGATCATGGCCGATGGGCGCGAGAACTCCAAGCTGTTAACCTACGAAGCCTTCGAAGGGGGTCGTAAGCAAACGAAGGACTATCATGGAATGTTTGACCTAAAGTACTTTGTGGCGTGGTTCCAGCGACTGCTTGATGAAGCCGATTCTCTGGGAAAGTTCAATGCTATCATCGTGTTAGACAACGCGAAGTACCACAAGGGCCTACCCGACAACACGCCGAAGGTCTCGTGGACGAAACGAAAAATGGCGGAGGCTTGCGAAGCCTATGGAATCGAAATTGACGTGAAGGAGTTCCGATCGACGCTTTGGGCCAAGCTGAAGACCCCTATTGCAGCGAACATCGTACCTGTGAACGTGCAGTTGCAAGGACCGCGGCCATGAGGTGGTCTTCACGCCACCGTACAATTCTGACCTCCAACCTATCGAGATGGTTTGGGCGTATGTCAAAGGGGCTGTTGGGCGGCAGTACAATACCTCGACCAAGTCTCGGACGTTCGCCAGCGGCTGGATCGTGAATTCGCTGGCCTACCGAGTAGCGTGGTTTTCGATTGCATCAATCATACCGATCGCAAAATGGTAGAAATGGCAGCCTAGCTGAATGCCGTGGACGATGTGATGCTGCTGGGGCCGCATTCTCGTCCGAGAGCGAAAGCGAAAGCGATGCCGACAGTAGCGACGACTGCGATTTTGCCGACTACGATGGTGATGTGTAATGCCTGTAATACTCAATTATTCTCAAAATGAATATTGTACTTTGCATAAGCACTCCAGAGGTTTAAGGTCCTGAAATTTGATAGATTATCCGAAAGGTCGCTCGATGCGTTCGACTACTGTAAGTTTACTGTTAATTCGAGTCGGACGCTTGCATCAGTCGGGCACCTCCAGAAGATAATATTCTCGAGTACCTTACCTGTAATACTATTGAATCACAGAGTCACTCTCTGGCGAGAGAATAACCTGTGCTATCCAATATAGACTCCAACCATTTATAGAGGTAATATTATTTTTGGAAGTTTAAAGCGCGCCGATGCGTCGCTCGTCAGGCATAGCCGCCATGGAGAACTCCGAATCGCTTTCTACCCTCCGCAGGCGCCCCATTGGAAGGCCAGTGTTCAAATACCGCCAGAAGAAGTTGCCCAAACAACACAAGAACACTGGTCGACTACTGCGAGCGGAAAGCGGCGATTGACAACTTTGACACCATGAGCATGCAACCGACGCTCGACGCAATGCACAGCAAGTTGACACGGTTGGCCCGGGAAAACCAAGTGGAAGCAGATCTACTCATGGGTAGCGAATAGCACAGTCATTGAAGCCATGGCATCGAACCCCAAGACAGTAGTCATGAAGTGTCGTCGTGTCCTTGGTACTGGAACTACACTCACACATGAGGTGAAAGAACAGCTTGTCACGTGGGTACAAGGTATGCGCAAGGATGGTGTGCCTGTCACGTACAGCATGCTTCGCATAATGGTGTTAGATGCGGCTGTCGACCTTGGTCTCAACGACGACGGGTTCAACACGCGCCATGGTCTTTCGCTTCGTGGTCGCAACCGTGTTGTTAGCAGACACCCGAAGGCGGTGAGGCGGTGATGGCTGAATTTATAGCCCTTGTCAAGCAGGTTGTTCTCGACGACGATCTCGACGTGGTCTACAATGTCGACGAAACGGCCGTCAACTATGAGTACTTAACGACCAAGTCCTTGAACCAACGAGGGGAGAGTACCGTGTGGGTGAAGACAAAAGTAAATATGACGGCGATGCTTCTTACGGACTCGAGTGGCAAGGAGCACCCGTTGTTCTTGGTGCTGAGATCAACCTCGTCCAAAGTGAAAGCGGTGGTTCATTTGGCGATGCGCAAGACTTCGGGAAGAGCCTGTGGGCCACGTTCGACCCCATGCAAGCGAAGCATTGATACCGTCTGCATAACCGTATGACATGGTGGAACTCCAAGATATCATTGAAAGTTCTGGAGTACCATTTCAGTAAACGTTTTGACTGAGCCGCCAAGAAAGTGCTGTTGATTTGGGATGACTTTTCAGCCCACTTTACCGTGGAGGTGGTGTCCTACGCAAACGAGCTGAACGTGATCCTCGAACGTGTCCTTCCAAATTGCACCTGGATCTGCCAACCTGCTGACGTGGCATGGAACCGTCCCCTCAAGGCACGGCTGCGTCAAATTGGTTGGACTTGATCCGTCGGCAATTGTTGGGGGCCAAAGCACGCGGCGTTCTATTCAAGCTGGTGCCGTCGTCACGAGAAACGATTGTTTCGTGGGGGGTGTCGAAGACCTGGACTGACATGGATGAGGCCATCATCCTAAATGGATGTGTCAAATACGGACTTTTGGACGGCGTACCTGCCCGCGAAGATGTTCTTGATGGTGTCGTCGATGACGACGTCTTGGGTGCCCTAATGGATAGTTGCGCCATTGAAGAAACCATTGACGCCGCGAGAATTTTCTGCCTTACCGATGTTGTTGACGGGTCAGAATTAACCATGATGCTTTGATACAGATAGGATCATTTACTTCTCAATGTGGAGGGCTGTGATATTATTTTATTCCTACAGTTTCTTTGAGTTTCGTTAACCTACACTCGATAATTTTAAGTCTGAAACTCAAGCTACCTTTACAGGAGCGAAAACGAGTTGACATGTATCAGAGGCGTTTATGCGGATTCGGATATGGTACATGACCGTTTGACAAAACATATGGGATTTTTATCCGGAAAGTGTTAACACCGGACACTGTCGTCACTTTTGTGTTAACGCCTGCCGATACTTGACAATGGTGTCGTTGTGTCTGCTGCCATCCTTGCTGTGACTGCTGCATGCTTAGCTGTCACGTCCACTGGCCCCCGTCACGAAAGTAACAACATTCTCACTGTAACTCACATTGAATTTGACTCCATGCTTGGTAATCTGGCGTACGAGCAGTGGTTTCTGTCCAATCTGCGGTGTGGCCAAGCCACGTTTGTCCAACTGGTCAGGGTCCTTCGTGCTGAAATGGTGGCCTATAGTTTGCAGGTGTCCTTACACTCTTTTGAAAAGAAAGTGGCAATTTTCTTGTATTTTGGGGGGTTCACTGGTGGTTAACGCGAAAAGGGTATGCAGCGTTTGGCGTGTCAAAATCATGGTGTATCAACATTGTTCACTTGTTTTCGTCCGTGCTATATAAAATGGCAAAACAATGGATTTGCATGCCGTCATCTGCGTCGGACTGGAGTGTAATTGAGCGTCAATTCCGAGAGAAACGTGGGCTCCCTGGCGTTGTTGGTGCTATTGCTGGGACTATGATCGATATTCAGCGGCCTAAAGACTACGATGGGTTTTATAATCGGAACGGTGACCCATCACTAAATGTCCAAGCTGTGGTGGATGCTTCAACGAGATTTTTGTCAATCGATGTTTGGCCGGGATCGTATTCCGACAAAAAAATAAGGAAGTGTTCTGTGTTTGGCCAATCTATTCGACAATGCATATCCCTTGGCTGCTATGTACTTGGGGACGATGGCTACACTTTGTTCCCATGGTTAATTGTGCTCTATATGCCCCACGAAGGAAGGTGGTGGTTTGAAAAATGCGATTCAACTTTAAGCATTCCAGTACCCCAATACCTGTCGAGTGTGCGTTTGGTCGACTGAAAGAACGGTTTTGGATTTTAAAGTGCACGATGAGTGAAGTCACGTTGCGTTGAGCCGTTTCGCACATTGTGGCCTGTGTGGTGCTTCACAATATGTTCCTCCAATCTAATGATGGCCTGTTTTCGACTCCCAACAACGAACGCGTCCAAAATATCTATTTCCAACCGAGCGATGAAACCGAAGTGGAAACAAACAAGGTGCTCCGCGCCGTAGCTGTGACCAAGCGAAAAGGAATATCAAGGATACTGGATGAACAATAATAAATGTGATTTATTGTTTCAACAAATATTCAAGCAATTTAGAAATTGCGTTCGACTGTTGCGTAATGGCGGTAGATTGCGTTTTGAGCGCAGCTACTACATCAAAGATGATGCTTCGTGTTCAGCCACTACAGGTACAACAGGGGCAGGTGCAGGCTTGGTATGAAGCATCTCTTCCCCGAAAGAAATAAGTCCCTCCTTAACTGCAACAAGCCCCGCCTCCAGAGCTTCCGCATGCGTCTTCCCTTTCGCATTTGGTTTTGTTGGCGGGAACAAGTAAATTTTTCCTTTTTCACGGCAGTGTCTTCAACGTCAGAGGAGTCGCACGATTCCTCCGCCTCAACATATTCAGCTAAAAATATGTAAAATAATAACGATGAAATCGAAAATATATATGTCAAGAAAGAAATTCCTTCATCCGTGGAAAACTTTGACTCCCGGCGAAATCCATCCTTGGATCCCCAGTACTCCAACATGCACGCAAAATGCGCTGGGGCGTTGACAACAAAGTCGTTCCATGTCGGCCTGGGCAGTGAAGGCTGGGTCAAGGCTTACTCCGATATCATCTTGGTAAACTAAAATTATAAAAATCAAGTTTTAATAATAATAATAAATACAAATACCTTGTCTTTCACCTGCTTGGCAGAATAAACCCGATCGACAGCAATGCTGAGCTCATTTCGTACGCCTCCTTCTTCTGGTTGTTGTTCTTGGAGTCGAATCGATTGGCGAGTTCGGTTTTATAGCGAAGAAAGAAGAGACGTGCCACGCTGTCGTCGCACCACGACGCAGACTTCTTTTTGCCCATGTCGTGCGCACCACCATCGGTTATTATGGTGGACGGGCCACGACTGCTTCCACTTCGGAGCAACAGGCAAAGAATCGACGGCGTTGATGTTCGAACTTGCAGTGGACATCAACAAAAGCGTCGACAGTTGTGTTGTGGCGTCGACGAGCCATCGACGCCAGAACACATCCGTTTGATGGCGTGCCTGCCATCTGTTCGTCATCCGAATATGGGCAATGAGACACGAGCACCAAATATTTATCCCACTCTTCACATGCAAAAAGGGTCGACAGGCGTGTGGAGTCGACGTTCCCCGACAAGGGCCAAACTAGACGGTACGTCATGACGTCGACAGCAGTTGTTCGAGTGCGTGTCGCTCGTCGTGTGCGTACGAACTCTTTTACCAGTTCAATGTTTTGCGTCGTGTGTAGAAGCCGTGTTCGATGCACAGTGCGGATGGCTGCAGGAGTGGCTGCTGTCACCGTCCCAAAGTCACTCTATTCGCACCATACGTCACGGACGACCGCAAAGTTCCACCCAATGACTTCAGACACTTTCTTGGGCGCCGAATTGTCACCCCGGCTCATGTAGAAAGCAAGAAGTCGTAAGAGGTCGCGGGTAAGCGTGCGTCCACGGGCCATTTTGACGAATTCCATGCATGTAAGCGATGTTGTATCCATGATGTTTAAATCGCAATGAAGGATTCCATCGTCGGGGAGCCATCGTCAGGCAGGCAGCAATTGCTATCTATATTTAATTTTGCAAGTAAATATTGTGCTTTTCACTCGTTTTGGCTATTCACACCATAAACCTGGGTGTTTGTTACGTCGACCCCAGTGCTTTAGATAACGTGATTTAGGATGTCACGTTTGTTTCGTTACAGAATGTAATTATACGGAGGTCGTTTATGCAACTCCCTCGCTTTTGCACATTTGTGCAAATCGAAGTTATATCGCTATTCTCGGGACCAAATTGCACAATTCACTGGTCATCATGAACAACTTTTGATATTACAAGTGACACACAACGAAGACATGTGCCGGAGTTCTACGGAACAGCAATGTACGTATGGTGCCACATCATAGAAAACCACGCCATCTTCTTGTTACATGCAGGTAGCATGTCCTACGCGATAGAATAAGAGCCAAGGTGTTTTGGTCACTTCAGCATCACATGTAATTATTATTGCTCGGAGTTATTTGGCAATTATATAACCCCAGTGAATTAGTTAAAACACCAAGTATTTATTCAACTTTGTAACACAGTTTCATCAGAAGTACCAATCTTTTAGCCACGTAAAGCCGACGCCAAAACAAGTACAAAGCACAATACATACTTAAAGTACCTCCGAATCGTTACTTTACGTTACCTCCATAAATTAATACTCAAAATTGCCCGATTTTGTACAAGGTTTTGCAGGGTATTTGGTTGCAAGGTCAAATTTGCACCCATATGTTTGTTTCATCAAATAATTCAAACGGTGTTTTGTGTTGAAGGATTCCGTTCTTACAGGTAAATCCGACTGTAATTTCTGTATATACATACGTTATTTCATATAGAACTAACCTCATTTGGAGAAATACAGCGTCTATTTCTATTCGATGTTGTCGACCACTGTGAATCGTACAATCCATCTTGAGATGTGGGGCTTATAATTATTGTCGCCGTGCACCTCCATGAAGGTTTCCATCATCTTTTGTAGCGTGACAAATGTCTTCACCAGCGCATTTCATAAATTGCACATTCCACAGCACCAATGAGTTTCTCGATTGAACGAGTTCTCTTTGGCACTGCAGGCTTTGAATAGCATTAAAGAGACCTAAATCTAACACGATGAAGTCTGGGCTATTCGGAGGCTGGTTTGAAATGCTGATACGATTTACTCCGTGGACTTCAAAAGATGGGTTTCAAGCGCAGGTGAGGGCCAGAAATGTCGTTCTGTATATGCACACCTCGATGTACGCCACACGTTTGTGCGAACTTGGCAGCAATTGCAAGTACCACATTGTTAACAACGCAGTCAAAATAGACCTGCGAGTTCGCAATTTGCAACTGACAACAAGAGTCTCTTTTGGATGATTCTTACTATTTCTAGCCGCTGGCACAGGTTGCACAAACGGCTAATTCCGACCTTGCCGTCGAATTCTTGTCGAAGGTGCGGGTTGTACTGTACCGGGACGTGCAACGGAGGTCAAAAACATTACTTTCGTAATGAAACGCTTGGACTTGGCAGCACGATGGGCAAGCTCTTAATCTTAATAGACGTAGAATTTTACCTTAACCTGGGTAAAAGAGAACCTCTTCTCATCGATATGCACTTGATCGTACATATTATCAAATATGTGTCTCCCTTTTGACCCAGGTAAGAGAAACTCATGGCAAACCATTGTCGTTCCGTCGTGTTGGTGTCGGTCAAGAACGGCCTGACGTGGCTTGAACGCGCCATGGGCTTCTTGGTCGCTGCCATGTGCCGCATGATAGTTGTGTTTGGTATGCCACTGTGGCACGCCAGGGAGCGCAACGTCTGGCGATCTTCTTGGGGTACGGCCTTGATAATCGCTTCAATTTCTTCGGCTGATACCTGGAATTACCCAACATAGTAAACTCATGAAAATTTATACATCTCGCCATTCATAGTTTATCGTGTATATATCCTTTTTAGAGGCAATCCATGAGTTTTGGTAGCGATGTCGGCTACTGGGCACCATGGAGGAGTGAAAGGCGTGTACGTGCCCAGAGTCGAGATATGTTCATCCTGTGAGATTTCAAGTGTCGAGCCACATCTCACACTGCACCGTATGGAAGCTGGTCTTTATGAAAGCGTGCGAGAAGCATCTCATAAGCACCGCGGCGCTCGTCGTCGGTGAGATTTCGTGGGTGGCTCACACCGCCCAGGTTCGTTGCTGAGCGGGCGGTTGTGGGTGAGGGCATAGACAAACACTGTAGTAACACATGGTGCGGAGGGAGGGTATCAAATTGAGTTATGACTATCTGGCGCAAGAAATTGATGCCTCGATTCCTCCTTGGCATTTTTCCCGCCCCATAACTTTTGACCCAGAAGGAATTTTTGCTCACAAAATATCCCTCCAATCAATGCGGAGATCCTGCGCTTTTCAATACTCCAATCAGATGTGATATCCGAGGAGTTTTAGAAAAATTCCACCAATGAGACGAAACTGTAACGATCTTTGCGGCTAGAGAGAGTAGTACAACGTTTGGCGGATTTTATGGTGTTCGCATAAATCAAGGGGTTAAGGATTTGGGTCGTGACCAAAGTTTCTCGGCGTCAGCCAATCAGTAGCCGCCTCAGAAAACTCGTCGGTTATTTGGGCACCCCTCCTTTCACTGAATATTTCCATTTTACGTGACCCAAAGGCGCCCTCTCACGCGAAACCAACATAGTTGAAGTCGTTTAAAAACGATCGTACCCCAGTAACGTATTTGACCTACAGCCAGGCTGCTAACTAACTCAACTTTACATTTTGTCCAAAACTCCTCACTTGGATTTTGGTCTTCGCCTGCCTTCGCCTCGCCTACCCTACTCAAAAAATTACTTAACCCCCTGGCATTTCTGGCATCAGACATCAACCTCGACAAGGTGTGTCAGTATAAATTTGGATATGTATATTTAAATACCAGTTTTGTGTAGATCTAGAGTAGGTTCTCATGTGTGTACAGTCCCATAGCAAGCAACTGGCGGAATCGGACGATTTTGTCGTTCAAGTTGGCCCGTACGATTTAAAAGCCTGATACACCATGGGCCTCTCGATTCCACAAAGCGCCACAAAAGTACCCCCGTAACTTCGTTTCGGCTGATGTTCTAATGCCAATACGTCGTTACAGAAGGCATAAGTATATATCAAGTGGGATGAAGTGCTTACTTTGAATATCAGTTTTTCACCATTAGAATCTCATACATCAGGCCCTAATTAGTACTTATAAGTGCTAATTAAATCATGGTGTCTTCAGATGCGTAAAGCTGGCAATCTTTCCTTGGGGGACTCACGGCATTGGTTGAGGTACATGGCACTTGGATCCTTGGTTTTTTGTAGCTCAGTTTGTTTGTGTGGCAAGCTGACGCGTGATCTAAGTGCATCAAGTCGAGCGTTCAAGTCGAGCGTTCTATATCCTTGCGATATCGACAATGAGAGCAGCAGGTACACCATGAGGACACTTAGGACTGTCTTGCTCACGTTGTACTGTACATCATATATCGCCAAAGCCGTATTCCGTAAACTTGCGACTAATTGGTAGCAGCAGTGTTCAACTGTTTCTGGTATACAAAACTCAAGTTCGTCTTGGTACATACCAGTATCGAAAGTCACTAAACGACACATATCAGCGTAACCCGGGAATAGATAACATGTGAACACACGGGTTTCGGGGTACAGACTAGCGTTCAATATACTGTAACTGTTACGATTAGGGATAACACTGATTAATGTTACACTTAGTTACAGAGTATCTCACCCATTCGACGAACAATGGAGACTGTCGGAAATGATTACTATGTAGTAATTCATAGATTAGAGACTCGTTCACAGTGGAGTCCGGAATTACCCAAACCCCTCCGCTTGAATCACATGCATGTTGTTTTGCATTTATAGTTAACCGACGTTTTACTTCACATTGAATGAGAGTGGGGTCTTCGTAGTAAGTCAAGTGACTTGCGTCGAAATGGCATCTCATATTCATGTGGTAAAGAGGACGAGGTGGTGATAATATGAAGGGATAGACTTGCAGCTATGAAATTGGGCCAAATTCGCAATAAGAAAAACGAAGAAAAAATATTTGACATGAGTGGGATTTGAACCCACGCCCGAAGACTGGTGCCTAAAACCAGCGCCTTAGACCACTCGGCCATCATGTCACTTTTTTCAACTTAAAGCCGAAAGATATCACATATCTCCACACAAAGCCTTCGGAGGAGCCCTTCAAACATCCGTTTGAAAATTGGGCAATACCCAAAGCCGAAATCCGCTCGACACTCATCCACTTGCGCAATCTGATGCGACCAGTATACCCCCTCGTCGCTGATACGTACTTCCGCCTACTGTTCAAACTCCTTCCCTTCCAAGCGCGTTTTTGGTTCCTGGAGCACCTGAACCCGAACATCCAGCTATGTCCGTATACCTACCTGCTTTCACGTCGAACCGGCATGCATGCTATGTTCTCGTGCACGACAATTTCCAACTCGAACCCCCTTGGCAGCAGTTTGGGATGACGTTTACATGGCACACAATAACGAATCCCCGGCGCCTCACCCCTGCACCACCATGGCTGCCAGACAGAGAACTTCTCGTCCAAATCTGGATTGTCACAAACACTATATACTAGCTGTGGAAACATCGATGCAACACGCGCTTCCGCAACGCTGCGCCTCCCAAGAGGGTATCGCTTGTTGAGACAATTCTACGACACTGGACCACACAAGTCCGAGCATGGCTACGAAATCCCACCACATCCGACGGTCACGCGAACATGGCACTCATTTTTGAAATGATACTCACCCATCCAAAACTTGCATGGTTTGTACGGAAATACCCGTGCTACAAGGCACAACCACCCCCGCCAGAGTTCGACGACATTCTCAGCAAACATCACAACTAGCCCCCGACACGAACAACACTGCAGCCACAGT